TGAATAAGCCTATGAAAGCGTTGCCATGGAAACTGCTAGTGACGAAATGACACCTATTTTTGGATAACCAATGATTAGATAATTCAACCCCGTAAAAGTGTTCAACTGGCCTTGGTCAGTCTTTCTGTTGTATTCTTTCAAAGTTACAAACCATCAAAAAGATGAAAACCGGTATGAGCCACCTTAAATAACAAATCGTTTTTAGGCTGCGTTTCAATCTTTTTGTACACAAATTTATTACCACAAAATTTATTTCGAGATCAAAAAACCAAAGTGATTTGAGAGCGAGAGAGAAGAATGAATTAATATTATTTATTGCCAAAAGGTCATGATCAAAGTCTGCTGAAAAATTCTGCTCAGCTGGCAAAATGGGATATATTTGTGAAAAACTGCAACAAAGCTTGAGATGTTCTGCAAAGAAACTCAAGCAAAACGGATACCACACACCGTGAGCGGGCCGGATGGGGAAAATACTGCCTGCTCTCGGAACCAATCAGATTGCAGGATTCATAGAATACCACCGGCTCACAAACTGAGAAAAAAAATAATGTGTGATACCTTTTCCAACATTATCTCAAAAGGCAAACTAAGAGAAGCATGTTTTTACCCTTGTTGATTTTAACCTTTTAAATTGGACCTGGCAGATTGAAATTCTCATAAGCTCATGTCTCAAAGCTCAACTTAAGAGAAGAATTCTCTGAATAATACATTTCACTGGCTGTCTAAAACACTGTGTGAAATCACATAACTTGCCATCCTGGTTACTACAGGTTTTCAGTGATTCCCATGACTATCACAACTATTTATGAAGGTTCAATGGAGTATGATGATAACAACAATAATAATGATAATATAATGATGATGATGATGATGATAATAATAAAGAACAGACATGTATGAGAGAGCTCCATTAAAACTTCTTGTATGCGGACAACAAGGTATTACCAACCAAGCTAAAGTGCCTAGGGATTTAACGGAAGATCCTTTGGATCTATTCTGCTCAGATTGAGACGAGGAGGTGACTTTGGCAAACACTCTACTGCAATTATTTTCAATCCATTTTGGTTTGATTTGATATGTCGGACAAAGATGTACAGCAGAGTTCAGTTAGACCAGGGAGGCTAAAATGGACAGATGCAATTAACAGGATTTAATCAAATACAAGTATAGACCGAAGGAAAGGGTGGCTTTGAATGACCCGCTGCTTAAGGCTGATGGAAAGGCAAAAGGCTATATGCAACTCATGAAGGAACTATGGGACAAGATGGGTTATGCCGGTTTGAAAGTGCCCTGTCTAAATCTACAAAACCAGGCTGCATATGTAAAGATCGTTGGGCGATGTATCGGAGGTTATCAGGAATAATGTGAGGCGGAGAGAAACAGACAGATGGGAAAGCAATGAAATGAATATTGGTAATGAGAATCAATTTATTTCTGGTAGCGAGATAATTAACAGCCATCTCAGTTGGAATTACACTCGTCTACTAACATCCAGTCCCTAGAGGTGAACGAGTTAATTGAACACAATCTACAAGAGGTACACATCATGTCTCCTGGGACCCGTAGATGAGCACCTCAAGAAGTACGGTCAAGAAGCAAGGAGATCAGCGTGGTGCAAAGGAAAGATGTAGTGGAACTGGTGATAACTTGTTTATCGATAGAATGGTTGGTCAGGATGGTCAGCGTGGGAAGTGCAACGTGAGCATGGCATGGGTGGATGTATGGAAAGCCTATGACAGTGTGGATGAGAGATGGTTAAGGGAGATGTTTACGATGCGTAGGTTCCCAACATGGCTTTGCAAGATCATTCACAAGCTTAGTGCCAGCTGGAACACCAGAATATTGGTGTGCCCAGCCTGAGGCATGGAGACATCGGAGGTGATAACTTTTAGGAGGGGACTTCCGCAGGGTGACACCCTTTGCCCCAGGCTCTTCATGTTATGTATGAACCCGGTCTCGTGGATGTTGAAAGCGATTGAAGGATACAGATTATCTAAGCCGATCGGACAGGTGGTAACTCATCTTTTGTATATAGATGATTTAAAGATCTTAGCAGCGTCAAGAGAGAAGCTAAGGAGGATTACGGTTGCTGTGAGAGGAACGATGAAGGACATAGGACTTGAATGGAACAAAAGGAAGTGCTCAGTGGCCCAAGTGAAAAGAGGGACATTGGAATCAGAGGAGCCAGTGAGTGTGGGGGAGAGCAAGAGGGAGGTTATCAAGAGTTTGGGTGAGGGATCTCATTACAAGTTCCTTGGAGTTATGGAAAGCACTAAACAGGATGATAATCTCATTCTCGAGATCACAGGCAAGACTTATGTACATTTCTATCTTTGATATGGACTAGCCTGCTCTCAGACTACAACGAGGTACAGGCTTCAAATCAGTTTGCGATGCCGGTGTTAAGGTACTTGATGCCCACCCAGTGCTGGCCCATTGTGGAACTCAAGAGGCTGGACAGAGAAGCAAGAAGGGTTATCGTTGAGATTGCGGGCAAGCACCCTGTTGGGCCTACAGCCCTAGTATATCTACCGAGGGGGCTCAGGGGCCATGGGCCATGGGCTGAAAAGTGTTGAACGAGAGTACAAGCAAGCTAAGGTTAAGGCTGCAGTAAGACTCTATACTAATGAAGACCCCGCTATGGAGGTTGTAAGGCGGTTTGAGGAGAGATCAAAAGATATGGGCTGGCAATTAATGGTGAGGGATGCCAAGAAATATGCACCTGAGTTTGGGCTCAATTAATCTCTGGTGCATCCCCAACTATTGATCACATGTCTACCGAGTGATTTGAAAGTACCTGTGAAGAAGATTGGGATGTAGTTGAAGACTGCAGCTGAGGAGAAGGGATGTTGAGGAACTGAAAGCAGAGGGATGGCAAGGATTTTGTTAACTGAGAGGTGGGAGGATCAAGAAGCCGGAGATGAACTCACACCATAGTGGGACTGCAGGAAGTCCAGCAACTTCTACCAATGAAAAGTCTAACACCAGAAAAAGACAGGGACTCACACGAGTGAGGATGTGAAGTGCCGCATGTGTGGTAAGGCCGCTGAAACGCAAGCGCACATGCTAGCAGGTTGTGGAGTGCTAGCCCAGTCTAAATACACGACTCGGCATAATGCAGCACTTAGGTAATTTTCTACGAACTCTTGAAAGACATAGACTTAGTGACAACAGTACCACCGTGGTACTCTCAGAACACACCAAAGCCACTTTATGAGAACAAGAGAGGAAAGGCACTCTGGGATATACCACTATATGCAGAACATGTGGAGGTGAGAAACAACAGGATAGGCTGCACAGTTATAGACAAGGAGAGGAAGAAGTAGTGTTACTTAAAATGAACTGTCCATGGGTCAGTAATAGAGAGATCAAACGTGCAGAGAAGACAAGCAAGTATGCCCCAGTGTGGTATGAATTAAGAAGGAGATACCCAGAGTACAAGATTGAGCAACATAACATCATAATAGACGCACGTGGAGGGAGCTTGCGAAGGGTCAAGGAAAGTATACACCAACTGGTTGGAAGTGGCCAACGTCATTCAGTGCTAAGGAACATGCAGAAAGCTGTAGTCTCTAGCTCACTTAACGTTGCCAGAACTTTCAAGGTCCTATCGGACTAAGCTCTTTCAATAACGTTAGTTTTAAGTATAGATTTTAAACATTTGTCTCCATTTTAGGGTCTATGGGTATACCATTTTAGAACTTTTAGGTTTATTTGTGTCAGGACTTTTAATGTCCTATCAGACTAAGTTCGTTAAACAGTGCTAGGTTCAAGCATAGTTTTAATAGGTTGATGGAACATTTATTTCCTTTTAGGGTCTAGGGGCACACAATTTTAAAGTTTAGCTTTTATCTATGTAGTAGTGACAATTGAATAGGCTAGGCCTTTGGCATCCTATATCAATTTTATCTGTAATCTGAAGCATTTAGAAGTGTATACTGCCATTATTATAATGATATTGATAATTATAATGACAACAAACTTATGAATTATGACATTATTGCCTGTTTCATGACCACTGAATATTTATTGCCAAATTGGTGTCTTCCTCTGCAATTTTTGTAGCTAATTTTTTTTCTTCTTTCCATGATGGCCACTATGGTCACAGCTGGGAGTGTTAAGCAATTGTAAGATTCTGCATTAACTATTGAATAGTTTACCAACAGAAATTTCAGAATTGCTTCATACTTCAGTGTAAACCATGTTATTTTTCCCATTTACTTTCTACAGGGACTGAGATCAACACTCTTGTGGAATCATGCCTTTATTTGGTTCATCCAAAAAGACTCCTGCAGAACTCGTAAAGATTGCTAGGGAATGCTTGCAAACTATCCACTCCCATGATACTGAGTCCTCTGGAAGCAAAAAATATGACAAGGTGAGTTGTTGTCTTGTACATG